AATGCGATAATGCTTCATTACCCACTTCCCAGAGCATTTTGAGGTGTTAATTAAGTAATGTTTATAGAAGCTGTGGTTACCCCAAGATGCACAGTAAGATAAATAGCTAGTTTTAATCATCTTCTGAATCCTTTTGCAGGCAGACAAACTTGCCCACAAATCTGTCCAAAGCCCACTGTACTCTCGGGGAACATCATGGCATGTAGGTCCAATTGCCATTCCTTCTCAAGTGGGGAGCAGAACAAATATTTTCTGTTAAACCTCAGCAAAGCAGCAGGAACTGGGGAGTGGAAGGACAAAATCTCCCTCCCAGCTGGGGGTGGTGCAAGGAGAGACCTCTCCAAACTGCTCAATCCACTATATAAAAACCGAAGTTGGATTTCTGGCTGTATCCAGGTATTGCAGAGGACCAACAGCTCCTGCTTTAGTGACCCTACAAGCCTAGGATAGCAAAGACTTTATGCTGGGAATAGGGATGTCCCTGTCCCCAGGGGACACAGGGGCTCTCGAGGGGGATAGAGACTCTCAAGCAGAAATAAGGTAATGGAAACAAAATCCTTTTGCTTTGGTGGTTGCCACAAAAGAGAAGGAGAAGCTGCTTCCATAGGGCCAGAGTGGTGGGGGAGAAATTGAGCTGCTGGGCTTGTGATCTCTGGGGCTACACTGTATTATGGCAACAGAGAGTTTATGGGGTAGAAGTAAATCAGTATGCAGGCTGGGACTTGAGGCTGGAGCTTCATCTTGGAGGATTTGCTCTTGTTCTCCTCTCCTTGCAATGGGACATGTCTGTGCTCACGTGAGCAGGGGCAGCATCTCCCTGGTGCTGCCAGTCCTGTTTAGTCTGTTCAGGGGGCTGTGCCCAGCACCAGTCCCCAGCAAACCCAAAGGGCCATGGAGGCAGACCACAGCCCTGCTGCATCTCCACACCACCCAGTTGGGACCCCAATCCAGAAACCAGCAGAGGCAACCCTGGGGCTCAGTGTGTGTGTGTGCAGCAAGGGCTTGTGGCAAACCGGCCCCTGGGCTGGAGGAGCAGCACAGAGCAGCTGCCCTGCTTCAGGGAGGATTTTCAGGTTGTGCGAGGTAGAAGAGGGCACCAAATCCTCCTCCCTGGCAAGGCAAGAGCCAAAGCTGCTCCTCCTGTCTCACCTGTTGGGGGGTAATTTTGCAATCTGCCAGCCCCTATCCAGCACTCACAGCAAACCCAGCGTGGTGAAGAGCAGGCACTGGGCTCCATTTTAGAACAGCCTGTGCCATGTTAAGTCATACAAATAACTAAATATCCAGCAAAAAACCAAACACACAGCACACAGAAAAGGTCCTCTCCAACCTGCCAAGCTCACAGTACATCAGCTAAGAGCACCAGCTTCACTCTGGCCTGTGAAATACTCCTGGCACTGCAGATTTTCCATGAGTGATCAGGCAGCTTTGCTGAGTATAAATTCAATTTATAATTCTAAAATTAGACCAGGAACATAGTAGGGTAGCCAAGGAAAGAGAGTTTGGCTGGTTAAAGCAGCTCTGCCCAGCAATCACTCAGTGAAAGGTGCATTACATGAATCCAGCCTGGAGCTGAACAACTCCAGCATTGCTGATGGGGAAATATCTGGTGGTAAATCCATTAAGCTTCACTGATCCCTCAGTGTCAGAATGTCACAGTCCTGCCTCTTTTTTTTTCTTTTTTTTTTAAATCTTTTTTTTTTAATGGCTTAAGCTCATTTAGCTAATGAGCTGCTTTATTCTTCTGAAAGCAGACAGTGCTGAGGGTGGGGATGTGGCTCTCAGTAAGCGTGGCAAGCAGTGCTGGGGATGGTACTGAGAGGCCAGGAACATCCTGGGGACCAGGGAATGGGGGATGGCTGTGCTGTCAGAGCCAGCTGTCTAAGTCCATCCCTTCCCAAGTCCTCTCACGAGGGACAGAAAATAACCTCCCTGCTGCTTTTTCTCCCCAGCCACAATCAGGAGCATCCTGCCCCAAGGAGTGATGCCATCCATATCTAGGCAATGCCAGGGACTGCCCCAGCCCTGTGAATGAGAGTTGACATCCTAGGGACCCTGTGCTTCAATCTGGACCCCTTGTCCCACCCTGAGCTGAGCACTGGGTGACGAAGAGAGCAGGTGAGCAAAGCCACAGCAGTCAACAACCACCCTGCCCTGGGGCTTGGGCTTTCCAGACCCTCCAGATTTAGGGGCTGGATGAGTTTGCCTTTGGTCCCCAACACTGGGGCTCTGTTTGCAGGGTCACCCATCACTTTGAAATATGCCCAGCCTCACTGGCATGCCAAAGGGCTGCTCCCAGCCCCGCCACGGGCTGCATCCAGCACCGCTGGGTGTATATCACAGTGACAGTTCTGTAAAGGGCTCAGGGCTGTAAATGAAATCCCTGTCTCAGAGAGCAAGCTCCACACTGAGGGACTCTGTGGTCTGGGCATCATCAATAAATCTCCCTCAATAAATCCTCTGGAGCAGGGCAGAAGAGTGGGGGGCTGCAGCTTCACACCTTGGCCAGTCCACATGGGACGAGAAGGGAGCAAAGCCAAATACCTCAGGGAGCCTGGACTGTCTGTGGGGCTGCTCTGCTGCAGCAAGGCTGAATCGTTGGTACAGATACATAGGGAGCAATGCTTATGCAGCATCTCTGTTACTCTGTGTGTGCACAGACCAGAGACCCAAAGTCCTCGCCAGGTTTGCTGCGGAGTGGCAGTCCTGTCTGCAGGCAGGGAGGGGTGCTGGCATCTCAAACAGCACCAAAAATGGCAGTAGCTTTTCCCTGCTGATCATATCTGCAGCAGGTCACAGGTCCCTGCTCACCTGGGAGCTCTGAGGCAAAGAAAATCAGCAGTGAGCCCCAACCCTGGTGGCACCACAGCTGCAGCCATGCACAGAAGGCAAAGCTGCTGCCCACACCCCAGTGCCAGATCCTGATCTGCCAGGCTCTGCCCGCAGCACTGAGTCACAGGGATCCAGATCCAGCACAGAGCACCTGGGCTGCCCCCGCACCCTCATCCTTCCACCACATCCCAGCCCAACCCTACCTCCCTGAACTGCGGGCTGGCACCAGTCCCAGCCAGGGTGTCACCTTTCTGGGATGTCCCAGCTGGTGCCCTGTGTCTTGAAACGCTGGGTTCAGCCCTCAGAGACATCAGCCTTGGGGAAGGGGCAGCACCAAGGTGGGCAGTGGCTGCTCCAGCACCAGTGAGCATAGTAGGGAGAGCTGCTGGCTCTGCTCCCAGTTGCAATCCCTTCCCAGATTACAGCACTGGGGAATGCAATGGGAATTAGTGCCTGAGTGCTTCAGAGCCTTCCCAGCTGCCACTCAGGGTGTCAACCCCATGACAGCAGGGTCTCACAACCTCCCTTCAGCCCTGGGGAAGTGCTTTCCTCAGCACAGAGCTGAATTTAGGACTTGGCGATCCTGGGAAATGCTTCCTATTAACACCAGGTAGTTGTTTTTTCTATTTTGCTGTAGAGCCAGGTGTTATTTCCCCTGGTGATTCAGCAGTGGCTCTTGGGGCTCAGCAGCAGAGATCAGTACCCAATCCCATTTCACAGCAATAGATCTCGAGTTGCACGAGCCACAACAAGCCTCACCGTGCCTTGTGTGGCTTCTATTTGCTGGGATAGATCAGCCAGCCCTGGGAAAGGGTGGGTTATACCCAGGGACACAGGAGCAAGGACTGCTTTTGAGTTCTTCCCCCAGAGAGTGAGATCTCTGCTGTGTTTGTACCAGATTTGCTCAAAAGCCAAGCAAAGTGACTCTGGGATGGTTTGTGTTTAGGCAGCTGTTCCGCTGATCCGAGCGTGCTAAGAGCACGCGAGCTGAGCTCACCTCTTTGTGCTTGCTGGCGCGTGCCTCATTTCTTTTGAAAATCAGATGCTTTAGGGGAAACTTTCTTCTTCCAGCTCTGCATGCCCACATCTTGCATATGCAGGCGATCTGGCACACCTCTGCTCCACAGGCAGATAAAGGCACGGGCGAGCTGCCGGCAGGGAGCCGGGCTGGGAGCATGTTGGAACCCAGCAGAAATCTTCCCGTGCCACTATGGGGCTGCAAAACCCACATCCCAGCCCACTCTTCACTTTCCAACAACAGAGGGGAGGTTTTCTCCCTGGCCATCTCTCCATGGTTGAAGGCTGAGTGTCCAGGTACTTTGTTGGGATTGGGATTACTGGCCATGACTCACTAACCCAGCATGACTTTTAGGGGAGAAGATCTCATGTGGCAATGCTGAATGCCTTCATGTGGAAGTCCCTCTTCTCCCAGCGTGGTTTTGGTGGTTCCAGAGGACACCACAGGTGCTGTGCCCACAGCAGCTTCCTTCAATGCTTGGCTCTGCATGCCACCTGTCCTGGTTTCTCTGTAAAATCAGTGAATAACATGGAGTTTGGTGCCTCCCAAGGATTCAAAGAGGCTGCAGCCAGCAAGGCCATGCAGGAAGCCTGGGTGATGATAGTGGGGTGGCTCAGTGGTGCATGTTGCCTCTGTAGAAGCTGTGAGGAGTGCCAGAGGGAGAAGGAATGCACAGGAGCATCTGGGGACCCAGCAGGAGATGGGTCCATAAGGCTCAAGCACCAAAGCACCATCATCATCAGTCTCCATGTGGTCCTGACACAAGTCCTGCAGTCCCCTCCTCATCCTCAAGATCCTCATCCTGCTCCACCCAGTCCCAGAGAAATGCAATTTAAACAGCTCAACAACTAGAGGAAAAGCCTGATTTTCCAGATAGGCTTTCAGTTCTTCCTGTTTCCAAGACATTGCTCTTTGCTACACCTGGAGCTGGGGCAGGTTGGACAAAAGTGCATCCCATGGTTTAGCAAATGATTTCCCTTCCTAGATTTGGGCTTTGTCCTGTTTCTAACAGTTTCCAGAACACCATGTCCACAAGACACTTCTCTTTTATTGGACTTTTTCTTTCTATTTTAGGCTGATGTCTGAATAATTAGAAACAAAAGGACATCCTCACGCTGGACACAACCCAGCGTGTGGCACAGCCCTGAACATGACCACAGAGAGCTTTACAGAGCTCCTGAATAAGCTCAAGGAAATCCATGAAAAAGAGGTCCAAGGTAAGGAGACACAAGAAGTCTTACCAAAAACTGGCCAAGGTCCATTTCTTTGTAATGCCACCTTGATCTATTTGGTTTCAAATAACCTGAAGGGAGGAAGAGCAGGTGTGGATTAGGGAGCTTTGGGAATTAGTGCTGAGCAAGCATGACTCACAGGGATGGATGGGGAGGCAAGGTCACAGCCTGGCCTTCAGGGGAGCACACCCTTCAATGGCACCTCAATACATCCCACTGGTTGAGAATTAGCTTTACTGAAAACATCAGTAACTTTTTAGTTGAGGAGGAGGAGCAGAAGAGAGAGGCCATTCCTGCAAGCCATGGAGGTGCTCAGCCCCTGCAGGAATTCCACTTGCTCCAAGCATTAACCACAGGGGATTTGGCTTCTTTCCTGCTCCTGCTGCCATGGTCTGTGATAAAGGTGAATTGGGAGGTTTGCAGAGGTGACACACACACCTGCTGGGCATCTGCCCCAAGCAATAAGGATTGGAGTATATTTGGATACTGAGGAATCAAAGGGAAAGACAAAAGATGCAATAATCTATAAGACAGACGCAGCAGGAGATGAAGCTCTGTTAAAGAAAACATTAGAGTCAGGTTGGATAGTTTATTCCTCTAGGGAATAAATTATTCCTCAGGTCATACATTATTAAAATAAAACCCATTAGGTTAAGCAACCAAATGCCAAATCCAATTGTTTTCCTATTAGAATAATTCCCAGTATCAATATTATGAACAAAACATCAGCACTTTTGGATGATTCTGGCTTATGAATTCATTCTTCTCTTGTGTAATTTCAAGCCGTGTGAGAGTTAGAGGAAACTGTTGAGCAATTTAAACCACATGTTTACATCTACTTTGCATAAAATGGATTTGACAGGATGTAACGTCTGCAGATCCATCACCGAAAGCCATTCTTGTTCAGCTGTAAATATTCTCTAAGATGCTTTCCAGCCCTGAGAGCTATAAAGTACTGCACACCTGGGAAATGCATGCTGTAGCAAGGAATAAGTAGAAACAAAACTAAACCAGACTTTTTGGGGGTGGGAGGAAAATGCAGACTCATGAAATAGTGGGAATAGAAAATGTGTTCACGTTTTGTACAACTTTTCCAGCTATATTAAACCATGATAGTGTTTAACACACACCATGTGTGGTTCCTTCTTGGAAACAAGGTTTGTAAATTGATGAGATTTCTGCAAAGCCACACACCTTCTCCTGAAGTTCCATGATCACAGTTTGCCTCTGAGTGCCAGGGAATTGGCAATAAACACTCACCTCTCTGTCTCTGTTCATTATTCAGGTCTGCACAACAAGCTGACGGAGCTGACGACAGAGAAGTGCTGGTGAGCAATGCCACATCCACTCTACCCATGCCATGGTGGGATGTAGGGCAGAGGGGTAGTTATATCAGTTAATTTTCAGACCTTCCAAGCTCTCCTCCAAGACTGCTGGATTTAGAAAGCACAGTTTGTTTTTCCGGCTCTGCTAAATTCAAACCTTGTGGTGACTTTAGCCACAAGAGTCTCCAGCACCGAGAGGGCTTGGGGTGATCACAGCCCTCCTATAGTTTGCCTGCCCAGTGGCAAGCGATGCTCATGCCAGCTGGTGCTTGCTCTCTTGGTAAGCAATAAACTGGGAGAAAGCAAGGTGCTGACTCCAAGGGGGATGTCACAGGACAGGATCTGAGCTCTAATGCAATTGTTTCCCCTCCTGCCACACAAGCAAAATGTCACTGTGGATGAAGGCACAGATTTTGGGGATAAATCTAATTACCCTCTTTTCTTTGTTCTGTTTCTTCAATTAGTGATGCTCAGAGAATTGAGGAGTTGTTTGCTAAAAATCACCAATTAAGGGAACAACAAAAGGTCCTTAAAGAAAATGTAAAAGTGCTAGAAAACAGGTAAGATTTGTTTTTCAATAGGGTGCTGTTGGGTGACAGCGAGTGCACCCTCCTAGGGAGAGAGTTTGGGATTTGCTGTTTTCCCAGGAGTGGGATGTAGCACATGAATCTCCTTATTGCTCATACTCAGCTGCTAGGAGAGCTGGAGGAACCTGGACATGCGCAGAGGAGCTTTCCTAAGCTGATGCTGGTGGGATTGGATCTGGAGGGGTGGAAGGGCCAGTGCTGGCTGGCAGGGGTGATAACCCCTCCCACCAATTCCAGGTGGAGGACTGGAAGTTCTTGCTTCTCTATGGGGAAGGCAGGAGCTCATTTCCCTCATGGAAATCATGTGGTAACAAGTTTCAGGACATGGGTTTTCCTTCCTCCAGGCTGCGAGCAGGTCTCTGCGACAGATGCATGGTCACACAGGAGCTGGCCAAAAAGAAGCAGAATGAGTATGAGACCTCCCATTTCCAGAGTCTGCAACACATCTTCATCCTCTGTACGTACCATCACCCACTGTAAACTCAGCATTGGCCAGTTGAACCTTTCCTCAGTTTATGCCTCTCCCAGACATTTGCATATGAGCCCTTGTGGTGACCAGGCATGCAGAAGGGGTTTGGGGATGGGGAGATGGAATGGATCAGGACTGCAGATGTCAGCCCACATCCCTCAAGCAGAAGTAACCCCCTACAGGAAGCAGCAGAGCTGAGGGTTATAGCCCTCCACACCTCCAGGAAAATGAGAGATGCCAGGCCATGTCAGCTGCCTGAAAAAACAATACATTTGGCATGGCAGAAGCAACACTCTGGCAAAGACAAGAAAGTCACAGCAGCAGCTCAGCACCAGTAAATGGAAATCAAGCAACACGTGTGATGGATCTTCTCCTGAGCCTTTGGCAGGTCTCCCAACACTGCTGAGGCTCAGGGTGTTTTTCCCTAGGGATCTGGCTGGCCCAGGGAGGGTCATGAGGGTAAAGGAGATAAGGCGTTTAGGAGGGATGGAGAAGTGCCAACAGCTCTTGGTTTATCTCCTCTGCTATGCCACCACTCCCCAAGTGCTGCTTTTGAGCAGGCTGTTGGGTACTCACAGCTCCCTCTGGCCTTTGTCTGATCCCACCCAAGATCCCGAGCCCTCCCCCTAACACAGCACCCACTCATCCGAGGCAGTGTGGTGTTCAGGGACAGGATGTTGGCTGTGTTCAACCCACCAAGCCAAGACCACTACCTCATCTGGATCATGCTCTCTCCCCAAGCTGGTTGGGCTGCAAGCAGACACAATCCTGACCAAACCCGAGTCAGATAGCTGTCCCGTCTTGTCCCTTAGCCTCTGCATGTTTTCAGAGAAGGAAGAAAATTTAATATGCCTCCAAAACTTGGTACCATTCCCTTCTCCTCCCCTATGCACCCCAGCAAGCTGTGAGGAGGATCAGCTCTCTCCTTGCAGTGCCTGAACCCACAGCACAACCTCTGTCCCTGCAGCTAACGAGATGAATCGCCTGAGGGAAGAGAACAAAACTCTCAAGGAAGAACTGAAGAAGCTCCGGAGCCTGGAGTAAGCACTGTCCTGAGTTTCATTTATTTCAAGTGGCGTTGGTAAGAACAGGGGCATCCCTGCAGCTGAGTAGGGCTGCATCCAGACTGCAGCATCCTTGGGGGTATTTTAGTATCTAATTCCTCTGGATTCTTGTAGATGTCAGACATGGAAAGATCCCTAATAGTTTCAAAGTCCTTGTTGATCTTTGCTCACTCCCCTGTTCACCTGCACTCAAGGATTCAGTTTTGGGGGACCAAAGGGTAGTATTCAACCTCCCTCCTCTTCATTGGGTACTCTCATGGGAAACAAAACCCTGGGCTATTCACCTTGGCTACAGAACAAACTGGGCTTCCATGGCTTTTCCATGGCACCAACTCTCCTCCTGCAGCTGTCAGAGAGGGTCTGCAGGAAGCAGGTTGTGTTTTGTGGGAAGGAGAGTGGCACACAAAGGACTGGAATGGAGTTAAGAGGGAGAAGCGATCTGCACCAACAGGTTCATACCCCAGCAGAGTGCTGAGCTGAAAGCCAAGTAACCTGCCAGGCTGGCCAATATATACAAATCAGCTCATTCCTCAAGGGTTTAAAGTCCAGAGGAATTAGCACTGAGGGATTAGTTTAGAAATGTGTTTTCTTTGGAGCACAGGAGCACCATCTGCTTAAAGAGAAAGTCTCTAAACTTTTATTCCCTGATGCTTCCCAAGACCTGATAGTTCCAGAGCCGTAGGTTGGGCTGGGTTTGCTGAGCACTGAGTGCTTCTGCTGCTTTCTGCTGTCCCCTGGGATGCTGGATAGGAAGATTTCCAGCCAAACATCCATGTCTCAGCATCAGAGTCCAGCCGGGACTTTGTCCATGACATAAGTGTGTGACTCCAAGACTCAGTCACTCCCTCATAGTCACCAAGAGCATCAGCCCCTCCATCTTCATATGGTGACAATGGACAGCTGCCACATTCCCATGCTGAATCCACCCCTACATCAGGCTGAAAGCCCAGCCAGGGACATGCAGGTTCCCACAGAGCTTTTGCAATAGCTACAGCTGGGTTCTGGTTTACCCAACATCGTGGTTTCCTGCGACATTACCCACAGCCAAGTGGGGCAATCAGACCTTGAACTGTCATGCTGGCTCTGTCCCATGCTCCAGACTGCAGCTGAGATAGAGATAAGCTGCAGAGGAAGAGGGTGAGTCCAAGGATCCAGTATAGGCACATACATACATATATTAATATGTATATTTATCCAGCAGGCTCAGAGTTCCCAGTACAGTGGCTCCGGAACCTTTCTTTTCCTGCTCCTTCTCATTCATTTATGTCCTTTTCCTTTTGACAGAGACAGGACAAAGACTCCAGGAGTCACCTCCAGAGAAAGCAGCTCCACACCAAGCTCCCCTTTGGCTTTACTGTCCCCAGTGAGCAGGAGTGTTGCCACTGAGAAAGCAGCTCACAGAGAAGCAGAAGAATCCCACCATGACGTGGAGGACCTTGAGTTGGGAGAAGGTGGGTGTCACTGGCTCCTGCCACACTTGAGGGACCTGGGGATGGGAAGAGTGACTGAGGCATAGTGCTAAACTGCTCTGGGAAAGGATCTGGAGAGCAAATACCAAGCTGCTGGCAGCTCAGACGGACAATGCCATGGTCAGGAGAGATGTTGGGGGGGTAAATGTATGTCAAGGGAGAAACACACTTGTCTTACAGGGCACCTAAGTAATGTGCAAGTGTGGATCCATCACCCATTTCATGCAGATACCATGTCATTGCCTTGCTGCCACCCACACATGCAAAGGAGGGTCCATTTGATCAGGTGCTAGCTTGAGCCAGAAATAAATTTTGACTCAAAATCTTCAGTAAGAGGTGGTTGGTACCAGCCCTGCAGGGCAGGGCTGCAGGAGCTCTGGGGAACTGCCATGGTGGCTGTGACAATGTGCCTTTTTTTTTTTTCAGAAAAACCTGCAGCACAGAGAAGGTCTCCAAGCAGCAGGAGTTCCTCAGGTACTGTCCTCCAAGAAGTCAGCCTTGCCGAAATGGTGAGTAGCCAAAGGCAGCCTGATGCCCTGAGACCTTCTGCCCTCTGCTGTGGCTATCTGAATTGAATCAAGACAAGTAAATTGGGATAGGGAA